TTGGGAGTGAGGAGAGGGAGAAGCAGGCTTCCTGCTGAGCAGGGAGCCCAATGCAGGGCTTGATCCCAGGGTCCTAGGATCATGACCTGAGCCAAAGGCAGATGCTTAATGACTGAGCCACCCAGGTGCCCAGGAAGGTTATTGTTTTAATCACGGATATGGATATTAGGTCAGTCTAGGCATTTATCATGCTTAAACGTAATTCCAAGTGATGGATTATCTTTCTACCTCCACAGAAGTCTTTTTGAGTACCTTTTTTTAATTGAAATATAGTTGACACACAGTGTTATATTAGTTTCAGGTGTACAACATAGTGATTAGACAAATCTACACATTATACTGTGCTGTTGGAGCATTTTAATAATAGCTGTTTTAATAGCTGTCAGATTTCCTATATCTGTGTTATCTCAGTGTTGTATCTGGTCATTTCTTTTCCTGTGCAAATTGAAATTATCTTGTGTTTTTGTTTTTTGGTTTTTTTTTTTTTGTATGCCAAGAAATTTTTAGATTGTATTCTAGAAAATATGAAAATTATGTTAAACGGTCTGGGTCTGATTTAAATGTCATGGTGAACATTGACTCTTATTTTAGCAGGCATTTGACCTGGTTAGGTTCAGCTTGCAAGTTCTGTCCAGCCTTTAGTGGATGGTGATTCCAAAGTCATTTGAGTTTTCTAAGCATTTGCAGTGCTATTTAGATTTTTTGGCAGGTACACCACCCAGTAACCCATTTGGGACTTGACAGGTGGTTATTTCATAGTTCAGAGTGGCTTTATTAAGAGATAAAAGGAGATACATGCTGAATTATTATATGTGAAGGGTCATTATGAGAACATCTCAAATAGCCTTGAAAAGAATTTACACACATGGATGCATGCACACATACGTACTAAATCTGAATATGAATCTAGGTGGCTGTTGTACTGTTCTTGCAAAATCTCTGTATGTTAGAAATTTCTCAAAAATTTGGAAGCAAAAAAGAAATAAAGGTCAGAAACATGCCATTCCTCTGCTTAAGAATTCCCACTGGACTCTCATCTCAAGTGAGATTGCCTCTCTAAATGTAAAAGCCAGATTCCTGTCAGTTGTCAGTCGTCTCTTTGGCCCTTTAGGATCAGCTTTTTACCCCTCTAGTCACTTCTCATCTCATTCAAAGTAAAAGCCAAACCCTTTCTTTTTTCCTTCTGTATGATCCTTAATGAATCTCTCTCATACTCCTAGAGCTTATCATAGTGTTTGGCCCATAGTAAGAAGACAAGCACACAATGAATATGTTTTTGAATGAACGACTAGTTGTCTTTGTGACAGGTTTTATTGTTTTCCTTAGGATGCCTGGACCCCTACCCATGTATTGTTTTGTGCTACTGAAGAACTTGTGCCACTTATAATGTCCATTAGTTCCTATGGCAATGGAAATTATTACTACCTTTCCTTGGGCTCTTAAAAATCAGGACCTGAGGTCACTTTTATATCTTCTGTCTCCAAGTCATGCAAATTTTTTCTTTTTAAAGATTTTTATTTATTTATTTTAGAGAAGGAGAGAGAGTGCTGGTGGGGGGAGGGACAGAGGAAGAGGGACAAGCAGACTCCCCATTGAGCGCAGAACCTGAGCTGGAGAGTGGCTTCACCCCAGGACCCTGAATTCATGACCTGAGCCGAAGACAAGAGTCATGCTTAACTGACTGAGCCATCCAGGTGCCCCAGAGCCCTGCATACTTTTAAAAACTGGGTGGCTCAGCGGGTTAAAGCCTCTGCCTTCAGCTCAGGTCATGGTCCCAGGGTCCTGGGATCCAGCCCTGCATTGGGCTCTCTGCTCAGCGATGAGCCTGCTTCCCTTCCTCTTTCTGCCTGCCTCTCTGCCTACTTGTGATCTCTGCCTGTCAAATAAATACATAAAATCTTTAAAAAAAAAAAAAAAAGAGCTATTACTCTTCCTCCTGTTGTCTTTTGTACCCTTTCTTTTTTTAAAAATCTATTTATCCTCATCCACATACTTACACTCTATTCTTGTCCTTTTCCATCAATTTTATCAGTAAGAAGCCTTCATAGTTTCCCAGTTCCCCCATTTTATAGCCAGTCTCTTCCCCATCCTTTTGGGACACACATGGAAGGAGGAACAGACAGCTACTAGTATTCTGGGTTGCCCACCTTCTTCCCCTAAGTGAAAAATGATTGCACTAAATATAGCTTACTGGAAAGAAAATTCTGTTTCTAGGTTTGGTCCTAATTTCTGAAGTCTAGCCTAGTAGCATTTAAGCAAAGATCTTTCTCCTGTCCTCGGTTATTTTACAGGTGAGAAAAAGGCAAAGTAGATTTAAAAGTGAACTTTTAACTCCATACATATCTGCAACTCATTATTCTCTTATTTAATAAGCCCTTGTTTTGGCATCTCTGTGTATGCAGCAGAAAGGAACTGCTGCTGTATCTTTAAAAGCTATCCTCAGAGCAGTGTGGGGGCAGGCATGTCACTGAAGTGCTTGAATGAGAACGCAAAGAGGAGTTGGGAGGGGGTGCTTTTGCAGCCTGTGTGTGTGTGTGTGTGTGTGTGAGAGAGAGAGAGAGAGAGAGAGACTGTTGGCAGAGCTCTAGGTGCCATCTCTCTGAACAGCTGGGCCGTGGTCTGCTTCAGAGCTGCTTGTCAGAGCAATTAGCCTGCTGGAGACGCAGCAGCAAGGATCAGTAGCATTTCATTCAAGGGTGAAGGGGGCGGGAGGGGACTGTGGGTGGGGGAAGAGGCACAGGTTTCCCAGAAGGAATTTCTTCCTGCAAAATTCCAGCAGAACAGATTCTTACAATGAGGTCTCCATTAAAAATGTGAGCTTGCTGTTGGTTTAAGTGCAGATCCATCTGGGGTGAGTTTTGGATAATTTTCTTTCTTTATATAAATAGTCCTTGAACTCCATAGACTGGGTAAGGAAGAAGCTAGAAAAATAAATCCCTTTTTTATCTTGGCCAATTTAACTGTATAATACACAATAGGAAAATTACAGTTATCAAATATTGTTTTGTGGGCATTTTCATTTGCTGATTTTTACCTTTAAAATGTTTTAAAAATTAGGTTTGCTAGAACTTTTATTGTATTCAGATTCTACCTCTTCCATAGCTATTTCAAGTGATGCTTCATTCAGATTTAGCTTATGAGAATAGTGGTGATTTCTGTTCCTTTGGTGATGCTGTTGACGCACATTGCAGGAAGCAGGGAATCCCCTATAAATATCCTTCACTGTGTCATTCCACAGCTATCCACACCCGGCTGGTGAATATGTCTCTGTGTCCTGTGTCTTTATGTAACTGCCCCCTAGTCTTTAACTGTGATGATAAGAAATATGTCGCCTTTGCTGTGTCTGGGAAGCTTTTTTTTAATTATGAACGTCTTAGGAAGAATTTGTTCAGCCTTTTTACTGAAACACGCTTTTTGACATATTGAGCTTTATCATAAGAATTTCATGTGGATTTACTGCTTCTTATTTTGGATTACTTATTTGTTTCTTGTAATTGGCTTCTTTTTTTGTTTGCTGACCTTGGTATCTAAAGAGTGCAGGGATGGGATTCCCTCTGCCTCCAGTGACGTAGTGATTTTGTTTGCAGTCTTTTTTCTTCCGAAAGGGAGGGGACAGAGAGAAGGAAGAAGAAAATCCATCTGAAGCGGTGCGTTCTCCCATCTATGCCTTAATGATAACTGGGTTCCATTGAACAGACAGAAGCCAAAGTGGGATGTTGTTAATGATAGCGATGCTATTTTGTTTGTTTCTTTTTAGAATAGGTTGGGGCCAGAGTTGGGACTGCTGAAGCACAGTGCCTGAATTAATCCTGTATGTCTTGCTGCTTATGAATTTTACCTAATTGCTTTTTCTAAATACGGAAAGAGAAGCGCTCACGAGCAGGTTTCTGGAACCTAGCATCCATGGGTAATTCTAGGTTGAGCTTTGGAATTTGGAATTATTTCTACCTTATTTGCACTGGTCCTGAGCAGGCAGTTTGTATGCCGTTTCTCAGACCTCAAAAATAGGTAGTTAGGTGAAATTCCGTGCCACTGTAGACTAAAACTCTCATTTTGAGTGTATGAAGCTAGAGCAAAGCTTTAGGAAGAAATTGTTAGATACCCTCTTGGGTGTGAATCTAACTTACCCTTTTCTGGATTAAGTAAGTATATGGGCTTCCAGTTATTTTTTTATGCAACTCCATTTAATACCACTGATCTCTGGAGGGCTGCCTGCAGAGGTCAGTGTGAAAAATTCAGTAGACTAGAGCCTAGGAAAATTTAAGGTTTTTGCCTGTCTGTGGATGTGTTTGGGTAGCATATGTGGAAAAGTACCTTTAAGAACTTGCTGGCTTTTCTGTCCTGACATTCTTTTCTGTTCTGTGCTCTCATTTATTCTAAGTTCTATGTGTGAAGTAAAAAGAATATTATCTGCCAGACTTAGATTCCAGTCCTATTTTTTATAGTAGTTCAAATATATCAATATTATCAATTTATTACAGACAAAAATATTTCAAACTAACAAAATTATAATTTTATTTGGAGAGAAGTTGGGGGAGGAAAAGGAAGAAGATAATCCTAGGGTAAACTGAGAGCATTCCAGAAGAATAACTTATTTTGAAACTTGCCAGAGACTGGAGCTATAAGGGTTAAGAGAAATTCCACCACATCCTTATATCTCAGTATTGCAGCAAATATGTGGACAATTTCTTGCTAGCTTTTCAGGAAACCCCTGTGGTGGACAGCCCTTATTAATCGTTGCTGGGAGACTGCTCTGACGTCATTGGGAGCAGTTCCCTGTCTGCAGTGAGAACAGGAATAGCCATAGAGGGGGAAGAAAACTGCTGTGAAATTAAAAGATGACGGTTTTAACTTGGTTTTCATTCCATTTGCGAGTGGGTGGGATCGACCTAAGTCTTTCTTAAATGTTTCAGTCATTAGCAGTGGAAAAATTACTAAGAGGTCTTTTTATTTCAATTGAAAGTGCCTTCTTTTTTCATCTTTGTTTTCTAACTATCAAGGTTTTGGAAGAGGTCAAGGCAAGAAAAGCTGTTGAAAGGTGTTGGAGAAGTAAGATTTCAGTTTCTTATCCTTCTTAATTTTTTTTTTTTTAAGGGGAGGAAAAGGACAAGAACTGCTTTTGCAAAAGGTGTTTACCATCACCCTATTTGGGATAATTTAAAATGTGATATATGTTCAAAGAATTTTCTGGCAAAATTGCTAGAGACTATTTCTATGCTACCATCGCCCTATTTGGGATAATTTAAAATGTGATATATGTTGAAAGAACTTTCTTGCAAAATTGCTTGAGACTATTTCTGTGCCTGAAACTTTTTAAAAAAAGATTTATTTGTTTATTTATTTATTTGAGAAAGAGAGAGAGAGAATGAGCTAGGGGAGGGGCCGAGGCAGAGGGAGAAGCAGACTCCCTGCTGAGTAAGGAGACGGACCCAGGGCTTGATCCCAAGGTGCTGGGATCTTGACCTGAGCGGAAGGCAGACACTTAACTGTCTGAGCCACCCACATGCTCCTGTGCCTAAAGTTCTATACCTACTTCTCTCTGGTGTTCTCTCCTAGCCTACCCACTCTCATTGTCTATAGCCTGTTAGGAGTTTTTTTGTTTGTTTGTTTTAGTGTAGTGGCTAAATGCTTGGACTCTGGATTTAGACTGCCTGAACTCAAATCCCAGCTATGCCAATTTGCTGGTTCTCTGACATTGGGCAAATTACTTAACCTCTCCATTTCTTCATATGTAAAATATATGAAATGAAGGTAATAATGGTATCCGCCTCCTAGAGTTGTTTGAGGACTAAAAGAATTAATGCATGTAAAGCCTTTAAGATAGTTCCTGGTCCTCTTAAAGGCTTACTTAGCATTAGCCATTATTGTTAATGTTTAGAAACTAAACAGAGATGGGGTGCCTGGGTGGCTCAGTCAGTTAAGTGTCTGCCTTGGGCTCAGCTCATGATCCCAGGGTCCTGGGATCCAGTCTTGCATTCGGCTCCCTGCTCAGCAGACAGCAGAGAGCCTGCTTCTCCCTTGGCTGCTCCTTCTGCATGTCCTCTCTTTCTCTCTCTGTCAAATAAATAAAATCTTAAAAAAGAAAAATTAAACAGTAGTTTTTGAGGAAGCCAGAAGTCATTTTAAAGCTATGTAGAATATTGAGTTTTTTAAAAGAATATAAGCATAATCTAAATATTTAAGGTTAAAATTGACACAGTTGATCCTTTTAGAAGTATCTTCTCTGGACACCTGGGTGGCTTGGTCAGTTAAGCATTTGCTTTCCACTCAGGTCGTGATCCTAGGGTGCTGGGATTGAGACCCATATTGGGCTCCCTCAGCGAAGAGCCTGCTTCTCCCCCTCCCACTCCCCCTGCTTGTGTTCTCTCTCTCCCTGTCTCTCTCTCTGTCAAATAATAAATAAATAAAAATCTTTTAAAAATAAAAATAAATAAAGCAGTATCTTCTTTAATCTGATGCTTATTACTTGAGACCAAATTGGGGAACACATTAAGTCAGATTAATAGCTCTCTTTTTATTTCCTTGGCCATCATTCATCTTTTGACTTCTGTAGATGATGGTTGTTTTTTTTGTTTGTTTGTTTGTTTTATGTTTTACTTTGTAGCATTGGTTCTGATATACTTTAAAATCTTAGGACACTTGTCTTTATTGTCTACCTCTGAAACTTCGTATCCTCTCCTTTTCTCTCTGAGTTGATGAGGTGGTATTCTTTCTCCACATATTTGTGAGAGTGTGGGATTTATATGAACCATTATATAGAAAGACTCCTTCAATTCACAAGCTTAAAAAACTCTAGGTGCCTGGCTGCCTCAGTTGGTAGAACATGTGACTGTTGAACTCGGGGTTATGAGTTTAAGCCCCATGTTGGGCATAGAACTCACTTCAGAAAAAATCTAGGGTCTTAGGAGACCTTGGTGGCTCAGTTGTTAAGCATTTGCCTTCAGCTCAGGTCATGATTGCAGATTTCTGGGATCAAGCCCTGCATCGGGCTCCCTGCTCAGCAGGAAGCCTGCTTCTCCCACTCCCATTTCCCCTGCTTGTGTTCCCTCTCTTGCTGTCTCTCTCTCTCTGTCAAATAAATAAGTAAAATCTTAAAAACAACAACAACAACAACAACAAAAACACTTAAAAAAAAATCTAGGATCTTAAATAGACCAAATGTCAAATCACAAATATCGAAATATTCAATATCTCCATGCCCTTTTATTTTCTTACAGTTTCATATTAAAGACTTAGAGTGTTTTTCTTTTGTGTTTTTTTGAGGCTTCATCCTTTGGACTGGTCTCTAATATCGAGGTATACTCACAAGAGTTAGTAGATGGTATGTAACATTAATGTCAAAGAGAATATTTCCATGTGTGACTTTACATCCTTTCCTTCCCCCTATTTTTTTTTTTTTTTTGAGGAGGGGAGGGGCCGAGGGAGAAAGAGAATTTTTTTTTTTTCAAAGATTTTATTTATGTGTTTGACAGAGAGAGACACAGCAAGAGAGGGAACACAAGCAGGGGGAGTGGGAGAGAGAGAAGCAGGCTTCCCGCTGAACAGGGAGCCTGATGTGGGGTTCCGTCCCAGCCCCCTGAGATCATGACCTGAGCTGAAGGCAGACGCTTAATGATTGAGCCACCCACGTGCCCCAAGACAGAGAATCTTTTTTTTTTTTTTAAAGATTTTTATTTATTTATTTGACAGAGAGAGAGAGAGATCACAAGTAGGCAGAGAGGCAGGCAGAGAGAGGAGGAAGCAGGCTCACCGCCGAGCAGAGAGCCCGATGCGGGGCTAGAT